AGGCCTATGTCTAGCAGTGGACTGATTCAGGCTGATGATGAAGATGATGTATGTACGTATGTACACACACCCACACACATAATGATCATTACTATTTTCATCTGGAAAACGGTTAATCATATTGCGATACGCCCTCTTTGTGACTAAAGACGGCAGTACCTGCACCAGGTCGCAGTCGTCCACGACCATCTCTCCACAGGAGAAGCGTGCGTCGTGAACGGGGGCGCTGACGCCGACGTCGCGGGCCAAGTGCGCCGTCACGTACACGTCCTCCACGGGGATAGGCCGCCGCCACAGGGATGCCGCGTACAGGGCCCCAACAAGGTCACCTGATATCACGTAGCCTACGAAAGGAAGATGGACAACGTTAGCATGTACTAGGTATTTCTGGGTAGTGAAAGAGTAAGGATTTACAAGGAGGCAAAGCGCCTTCTTCATAAGCCATAGTGTGTGGTCCTACATTCTACATACCTGCCCCGGCGACAAAGGGGGGGTGGCCTGGGGGGAGAGACGCTCCGGGATCTGCGTTGACAGGCATAAAAGCCTTCTTCTGCTTGATGCAGCCTAAAGAAGAGGGAAAAAAAATGCTCATGCGAAAACTCTGATATCATGAATGATTAATTCTGCACTACAAAGATTCCGTCGGTATAACTCGACTAGAATTTGCTTTTAATAACAGTGGCAATAATAATAACAACAATAGTGATGGTAGTAGTAATAATGATAACAACAATATACAATAATAATTAGTGTTCCTACCGTTACACAACAATTTTCCCAGTGAACCCAGACCTCCCCTCACAGCTATGTCAGTGGCTTCATTTATTATTCAACGTAGAACATACTGCTCTCACACACTGAGATATGCTTTTGTTTGGATTTGGCGAGTGCTGGTTTATAGTATGTTCCACAGAGAAAGAAAGTTTCACAGTTACCTGAAGAAGAGATTAGAAAAGCAGAAAGTGACAGACATCCCTACCCAAATAATTATATGATTGCTTGAATTTTTGTATTCCTCTCTCGCCTTATAATGACAATAGATTGCCTCTACCAGGACACGAGGATGATCTGAATTGTCAAGTCTAGTGATAAGGTATGGAAACCAAAACTCAGCAAGAATAAGTTTGGAAGGTTTCCGGATGCCTGACAAATAGCACCTTTTATCCCCTTTAATTTCTGAAGATCCACATGAACACATCTCTAGTGTCATTTAGCCCGTGGCTCAGTTTCTTGTTTAGAAGAATTAGTCTACATCAATCCAGGTTTATACACGATATTGAAGTCAACTTCCTTACAATCTTTGCGCCATTTTGCTTAGATCAATTACATGTTCTCCAAACTTATTCTTGCTGAGTTTTGGTTTCCATGCCTTATCCTTGTGTCCGGCTAGAGCCAATCTCACAGCCTTTGTTTGGGATTTTTAACATTATTAGGCTGGGTAAGCCTAGGGCCCTTTCTGCATTTCATAGCATGCTTCCATTAGTGTGGGTGTTATCTTCTGCATAGTCTCCATTTCAAGGGAAAAACAGATACTTTGACAGCTTTCTTTTTGTTTGGGATCCTCTTCCCATCGTCATCACGTAGAGGAGCCACGGACTCCAAACTTCGGGCTGCATGCAAGAACGGGCGAGGGGATTGCAATGAGAACGGAGGGGAGAGGAAAACGGTGGAGAGGAGTGACGCACAGACCCTTCACTGCAGCTCAGAGGAGAGGATCTTTTTAGCGAGACTGAGATTGATTGATGGTTGTGGTTACGTTCAAAAGCAACCAGTGGAATGATGAACTTTTTTAAGAGAGGAAAATGCCTGTGCCTATGAATTTGGCTTAGACAGAAAATAGTGAAGAAAGAAACGTTGTGCAGCTCTGACGAAATCGATTGGAGACGCTACGAAGGATTCGCTACGCTGTTCTGCCAAGAAAAAATAAGCAAATTGCTTGCGATATTTACTGTTAAGAACATTAGCAACAGTGGAAAACGCTATTCACACGTTATGGTGATTCACGAAAAGAGTGTTCAAATGTGTGCGATGTAACAAATAACTGTGTCAAAGTTCTATTACTGGTTTAAGTGATGCAGATATACGTGTACTCGACTGCACTGTATGATATTATTATCAGAAGTGTAAATTTATTCCGAAATAACAATGTATCTTTTTCCTTAAATCTACGTCTAGACAGAATTACTCTTATTTACGTTCTCTGTGATATTTACAGGGGGACGATCCTAAAGCTGAGTTGGTCAAGAGCAATTGTTCTTTTGTTTTGTATTATGTAATGTGCAGAACTGCATCAGTCCAGGCAGGCTTTGTGTTAGCTGTATACCTTGAAAGAATGTGCTACAAGAGGTACGGGCAAAAGGTCAAGAATTTGATTTGTTGATTTTATACCATAATGAAATAAAAAAAAGAGAAAACTAGTTATAGTTTCTCCATTCCTTCTATCCATACTCGAGCGTTTCAGTATGTTTATTCTTTGATGTAAGTGTAACAAATTAATTTGTTTGTTTTCATATATTTCGTGTCTTTGTTATTTCAGTAATCAGCTAATAAACATTTGGGCAAACAAAAAGATGTTTATCTGAATTCCGAAACTTTCCAACCCACTAATCCTACGTTCCACAATAGTAATAATAATGATGATAATTATTATTATTGTCATTACTATTATCATTATAACAATGTTAATAGTAATAATAATGATAATAATGATCCTGGTAATAATGATAATTATGATGATGATAATAATGATAATAATAATAATAACAATAACAATAATAATAATAATAACAATTATGATAATGATAATGAAAATGATAACAATGATAATAATGATTATGGTAGTAGTAGTAATAATAATAATAACAATAATAATGATAACAATAATAATAATAATAAGGATAATAATAACAATAATAATAATAATAATAATAACAATAATGCCAATAATGATAATAATAATAATAATAATAATAATAATGATAATAATAATGATAATAAATACTAATAATTAATGATAACAAAAAATAATAATGATAATAACAATAATATTAATAAAGATAATAGTGATAATAATAATAATGATAATAATAACAATATCAACAATAACTACGTGACAATGACAGTAGTAGTTATGATAAGGATGTATCTAAGAAAAAAACAAAAACAAAAACAAAAATAGTGGTAATAATAATAGTTATTATTTCGGTTAATCTTCCGACTATGACAATCGGGTCTTCCCTGACAATGCTTATGGAAAAACTTTCCGTCTATGTCAACCAGGACTACAGTAAGGGAAAAAAATGTATGGAGTGGTTACCTTCACGAAAACTTTGACACTTTTCATCTATAGCAAAAGGTGCACAAATCGATAATAAGGGAGATATAGGACAGAGAAGAGAACAAGTCGACCCATCATTTTCAAAGTCCCCATCCATGTTTACCTTGCGAGGACCAAAACAAATGTGACGTGTAACTCCATGTAGTCCACGTATAGTCCATGTATAGCTCCTTGCTTGTGAGAACGTTTATATTGTAATTACCAGTGTCTGTTTTTTTCCGAATTAATGTATGTAAGGCATTCTTTTAGTTTTATTATGTTTCCGAAAAAAGAGATTAGAAACTAAACAATTCTGACCATAGACGGAAGCGAAGAAAAGTTCGGTCATTCGCAATATAAAGGTATGTGGTTTTACCCTGGGGGTCCAGGGGGAAGATGTAATATATAGATCGTATTTTCCTAAAGGCACGAGGGACCAGTCGCATATATATTACTAAGGGGGACCAGGAGACATATCCTAGACGTATATATTACCATGGGGGTCTAGGGAATATATAGATCGTAGTGTATAAATCCCACAGGGTTAAGTTTAAGTTGGTTTACTGGTTAGGACGCATTGTACAATTACCACAGGGGATCTGGATTATGGAAAATCCCATAGACTCTTACCGAATTGAGAGGTTGATTCCCGTAGAGTTTTTCGGAAGTTGGCTCGTCGGATGGAGGGGGTCGTCCGTAGAGTTTCATTGGCCGATTTTAAGAGATTTTGTGCTTGTTTTATATATTTCTGTTCTCTATTCTACTTATTTCAGCCTGTTTTACCCCGTAATTTCCATGATCTACTTCATGACCTCCCTGCTATCGGCAGTAATTAAATCACATCAAGATTGTCGGCTAGAAAATGCGACGGAAATGATCATCAGATTCATCCTCATCACACGAGGATAATAAGGATAAGTCCGATATGCGAAGCTGAGCCTCGCCCGGGCTATGGGGGAGCCCAGCCTGTGCCGACTAATGTCGACGCGCTAACAGTGTGTCAGCAGGTGCTGACTCGGATGAGCTTAGTCCTTACCCACCGTGGTGCCCAGCCACAGCGGTAACCTCCAGGCGACAATTGCAACTTCTCGCGCCTGGGCGGGGTGCGAACCGCCGACCCCTCGGATGAGAGGCCGACACGTTACCACTGTACTAGCCCGGAGGCTTCACAGGAGGACAAATCTATTGATATAAATATTGTCAGGGAAGACCCGATTGTCATTTCTGAAAAATCAACCTTAGTTTTCGTCAAGGTAACCACTCCATACACTTTTTTTACTGGCTGTCATGCACGGAAAGTTTTCCATTATTTCTATCATTAACATAACATTATTCTAATTTTTATTGTTGTCGTTATCACTTATTACTACTAATATTTTAGATAATATCTAATATATGGTAGTGGCAAAGTTTGGTAATAAAACCTATATGGAATGATAGAACAATACAAACCAAGACAAAGTTCCTCTATGGCAATATGTGCGCAAATGCTTCCCAAGGATGCTATACGTAAAAGAAAAAAGATCCCCAATTTTGGCAAAGTCGCTCAACTTGTTTACTTTGCGAGGGTGAATTCTAGACTGACCGCATAACTCATTCCTCCAATATGTCAAGTAGTTCATGTATTACTACGCGCTTGCCAAAAGGATATATTGGAAATTATCGGGGTCTGTTTTTTTCATAT